CTGCGGGGGTGGGGGGGGGGGGGGGGGGTAGACTCAAGGCACAGGTTGACTCAGGATTGCTCAGCACGCTTTGGAGATGGACTGGACTCGGCTTTGCCCCGCTGCAGCTGGGCACAGCAGCACCTGGTCTCTGGGTGTGGGGGTGCACAAGCTGTCACTCCTCCAGCTGCCTAGGCATGTTGGGCTTGGCACCTCAGGCTGTGCAAGGGGGGAGGCCCAAGTCAGGGAAGGGCTGGCCTGGCCTGTGTGCCCTAGGGATTGTAAAGCAGGACTCCTGGGTTCCATTGCAAGCCCTGACGGCAGTGGTGGCCTTGAAGCCATTCCTCCTGTGCCTCAGTTTCCCCAGCCTGGGGCCAACTGAGCTTGGTTTGGGGGTGCTGTGGCTAGTACCTGACTTGTGGGAGCAGTTTGGCTTTGCAGGGAATGATGGGGCAGCCTGGCAGGATGAAGCTGAGGCAGCTTCTCTGGATTCCACCCCCACACCCTGCTGTTCAGTGCTTGGATAGGAATCTCCCACTCCTCCAGGCCTGACCCGGCTCTAGCGCTCGGTGCTGTCCCCATAGGCCAGGGAGAACCAGAGCCTCTCAGAGCAGCTGTCGGCACTGAGAGCCTCCCACGGCGGGGAGGGGGAGCGGCTGGGGGGGGTGCAGCGGCTGCAGGAGGACAAGGCTCAGGAGAGGCACGTCCGGGAGCTGCAGGAGCAGCTGCAGCACATGGAGTTGGAGAAGAGCCTCTCGGAGGGCAGACTGGGCCGGGAGCTGCAGGAGCTGAAGCAGGTGCGGGGCAGAGAGAGGCCCTTGGCTGGCTGATGGGTGGCCAGTGATAGCTCTGGGTGAGAGGAGAAGGTAGAACTAAGGATGTTAAGGACTGGTCGATTTCCCCACCCCTATCAGAGGCAGCAAAGGGGGGAGGGGAACGGGGTACTTCCGTGCGGTGCTGCTGCCTTGACCCCATATCCGGGCTCCATGCGGCACTGCCTCTTTGAAACGCCGTGGCAGCCTTGGCATGGAGCCTGGAGTCAGCGGGGCACTCGGCTGATCCTGGGTTCTACTGAAATGCTGCACGGAGTCCCCCGCTGACCCCAGGCTCCATGCTTTGAAATGCACAAGAGACTCTGCTGGGGATCTTGTACATTTCAGAGCTGGCCCACACGTGGTCCCACTGGCCCGGGGCTGCAGGCACAGGTCCCCATTCCTCCTTCCAGTGGGAGCTCTTGTACATTTCAAAGGAAGAATGTGCAAGTGCCTATCCACTAGTTGATGGAAATTCTGCTGACTACTCGATATTAACATCCTTAGGTAGAACCGCTGCAGAATTAACCCTGAAACTTTCCTCCTTTGGCCCTGGTCCCAAAGAGCAACAATCCCCCATCCAGCCAGTCATGGGTGTCCCTGAACATACAGGGCAGCTCCAATGGCTGGCAGCAGTAGTAGGCTGGTTGTCCTCTCTGGAGCAGCTGTGAGAGGGGGAGCTGCTGTAAGCAGGCTCCTTGCTAGCTTGCTGTGCACGCTCTGGTGACTAACCAAGCTAGCCTAGATGTAGACTTAGCGGGTTTGATTCCAGAATGTTTCTCTGGCTTGGATCTCGTTCCGAATGAAATATTGGACAGTTTGTCTGCAGGGATATTTACTGATACAATCAACTCCTGCCATGTGGCATGGTTGTGACAGGCAATAGTGACAATAGCTTTTTGGCTTAAAGCTTTAACTCCTGGACACTCATATCTACTGGCCGTAAAGATTTTCCTCCTCTTCCCCCTCCCCCCCCAAATTTTCCACAATGTTGTTTAAGTTTATATCCAGTTATTAGTGTCCATGTGGGCACTTAACTTAAATATTTTCTCTCCCTCTCTGGTATTTATCCTTCTAGCTACTTCTAGACTGGCATGATTTTCCGCAAATGCTTTTAACGGAAAAGTTTTCTGTTCAAAGCATTTTTTGGAAAAGAGCGTCTAGATTGGCCATGGACGCTTTTCCGCAAAAAAGCCCCAATCGCCATTTTCGCAATCAGGGCTTTTTTTTGTGGAAAACAATACGGTGCTGTCTACACTGGCTCTTTCGCACAAAAGTCTTTCGGAAAGACTTTTGCCCAAACGGGAGCAGCATAGTATTTCCGGAAAAGCACTGACTATCTTACATGAGATTGTAAGCGCTTTTGCGGAAACTCAAGTGACCAGTGTAGACAGCTGGCAAGTTTTTCTAGAAAAGCAGCTGATTTTCTGGAAACTGGCCAGTCTAGACACAGCCCCCCTGTTTGGGGCTGGCTGGCAGGGCATGGGGAGGATGGAGAAGCCCTTCAGCCTGACTGGCCCCCGGCAGGTCCTCTTGCCCCATAGCTCTGGACTGCTGTCAGGGTCCGATGCACTGCCCCTCTCTGCCCCCAGCGCCTGGCAGAGCTGGAAGCCATGAAATCCAATCTGAAGGAAGAGAAGGACGCTCTCAACCAGCGGATCATGGAGCAGTCTCAGGACCTGGAAGGTAAAATCCTGCCTTGCCCCCTCCCCCAGTCTGCAGCCCCTCTGCCAGGCTGGGGACTGGATTCTGGGGGTGCCCCAGGAGTGACAGTGGCTGTGCCAACCAGGCCACAGCAGCTCTGGCAACTGGTGGCTGGCAACTGGGCACCCGCTGGTCCCCATACTGCTCTGTGCTGAGCTGCACCTGCCTGCCCTGTGGGGAAGCCATGGGCCCTCTGGCCGCCGTTGGGCACTCCCAGCTAGGCCCGGGCCCCTGGCATGAGCTCCCGCAGGAAGTGGTGGAGTCTGTCTGGAGGCCTTGAGCGATGGAGTTGTGGCTCGTTGGCGGGTGGGGTGCAGCGTACTCCCCTGGCGAGGCCAGGCTGGGCAGGTGAACGGAGCCGGCCGTCTGCGAACCCAGACTTCCCTGCTCTGTGGGCCATGCAGCTCGGAGGCCAGACCCTGCGTAGCCGGGTCCCTCTGCCCCGGTGCCGTATCCTCCCCCACCAGCTCTCGTTCCCGGAAACCTATCGAGGGGGCGGTATCGCGGGGCCACCCAGTTCTGGGGCCTGAGCCCGTGGATTGTGGACCACTGCATGTCCTGGTGGGTGGCAGCATTGCCAGGGCAACCGGCCTCTGTTCTCGGCAAAGTGCCTTGTTTGGGAAGCACCAGCACCAAGGACGGGGCAGCTCCCAGCCATGCAGAGCCTGTTGTGGCCCCGAAGGGGGGGGAGGGGCCTTGCCCAGCCTCACCCCAGGGGCCAAAATTGGCCCCGTCCCCAAGCCCCCAACCAGGGGAACGGTGTAGCCTGGCCTGAGCCAGCAGCTGAACCCCTGGGGTCACGGGCCTCCCCTGCTAGGGCTCCCAGCAACCCTCCTGCCCTCTGACGTCTGTGCCCTGAGCCGGGCGGGCTCCTCCGCAGGGCACTGGGAGGGGCCTTGCCCAGCCTCACCCCAGGGGCCAAAATTGGCCCCGTCCCCAAGCCCCCAACCAGGGGAACGGTGTAGCCTGGCCTGAGCCAGCAGCTGAACCCCTGGGGTCACGGGCCTCCCCTGCTAGGGCTCCCAGCAACCCTCCTGCCCTCTGACGTCTGTGCCCTGAGCCGGGCGGGCTCCTCCGCAGGGCACTGGCCATTGCTCTCCTCCTTCCTTCCTCCCCTGCAGAGCAGCTGCGCTGTGTGAGGGGGGAGAGCCAGGAGCTGCTGGGCCAGCTGGAGGGGGAGAGGACTCGCTACCAGAGCCTGGTGACGGAGTACGCCCGCCTGGAGCAGCACTGCGAGAACCTGCAGGACGAGGTGGCGTTCCACAAGGTGAGCCGGCGGGGCCGGGCCCACCCCAGGCATCCTGGGGAGCCAGACTGGGCGACAGGCCGCCGAAGGGTCCTCAAGGAGGCCAGCTGGGTGGAAGCAGGCGTAGGAGGGCAAGGAGCAGCGGGTGCTCATGGTCCCAGGGCTGGGACCCGCCTGGCAAAGTGCCCTGTAGCCAGAGCCGTGCCCTGATGCTGGCGGGGGTGTTTTGAAGAAACCAGACTCCATCAGCGCTCTGGAAAAGTCCCAGCCCTATGTGAACATCATGGCTGCACCATCCATGTCCCTCCCCTTGCTGTCCCAGAGCTCAGAGGGAACTGTCCCTCCCCGTTCCCACTGCCAAGATAAGGCTGTGAGCTCTGAGCCGTCTCCCCTGCCCACCTAGTCCCCGCACGGTATGCTGATCCCACTGGACCTTCAGCTGCTGTATAATGCATCCTTGTTCCTTTTGCCCCCACTCCAGCGAACCCCCAGCCTCCGCAGGTCCCCTTCCTCTGACAGCATCCTGGACTCCAAAGGCAGCTACCCGTCTTCTCTGTCCACGGCGCCGTCCTGGGAGGATACAGACCAGCAGAGCGAAGTGAGCCGCTGCGTCGCACTAGCCACCTGGCGCGGGGCATGGCTGTGCTCCTGCGCTGGGTGGGAAGCGGAGCACGTGGGCTCCGGAGCGAGCTGGGCTGAGCACAGACAGGGAGCGTGCTGGAGCTGTGTCCGGTGCCCCTTCAGAACGGCCCTGCTTCCCGGGACCAGCTGTTCCGCCCACTACCCATCTCTAGTCCCACCTCCCCCAGCAGCCTCCCTTGCCCTGCAGTCAGACCAGCACCCCAAGAATGCCCTGCGGTGGCAGCATGCAGTGCCAAAGGCGCGGGGGGAGGGGGGGAACGGGAATAACAAGGCCCCTCTGCCAGGATGGGCTGTGCTGCTGCTCTTGTTTCAGCCGGGAAGGTGCCTGCAAACAGCCTTTGGCCAGCACCTGTTCCAAGGGGCTCCGTGCACGGCCTGTGCAGTGCCTCTCCTCCCACCCAACGTCTCGTCCGGTCTGGGAGCTGGCCAAGCCCACAGCCTGGCGGCAGAGCCAGGAATAAACCCTGGCATGCTCCCTGCTCTGATCTGTACCATGCTGCCTTCTGGCCGACGGCCACAACGTTTGTAGGTGGCGAGCCCGAGTCTGACGTCCCCGGGACCGTACTCGAATGAGCCCCTAGCCTCATTCTCCTCTCCACAGTCCCCATCTCAGCCCCTGGACCGGGAGAGAGGCCCCTGGAAAAGCAGGGCCATGTCGGACAGCCCCCGCTCCTCCATCACTGACGAGGATGGCCAGGACCCCTTGGAGAAGGCCTATCTCCTCCTCCTGGGACAGCTCAACGCGGTTACCGAGGACCTGGCCAGAACCCGGGAGGAGCTGCGCAGGGCCAAGGCTCAGCTGGCTCATGAGAGGAAGCCCTTTGAGCTCTTCAAGCGCTGGGTGAGACTCGCCCTCCTTCGTGTCCCTCGCTGCGGTGGGGGTGAGGGAGGGGCTCAGCACAGACCTGCTGCCTGACTGGTGGGTTCTCAGTCATCTCCTTCCCCCGGCAGAACGCTGCAGAGATCCTGGGGCTGAGCAAGAGCCCGGAGAAGATGATTGAGGCAGACTCGCTGATGGAGGAGGACTTGAAATATGCCTATGATGCTGTCCAGGTTTCCAACAAGTGAGTCGGTTACAGACCTGCTTCCCCTGCCCTGTCTGGCGCACCCGCGTTTTGCAGAAGGCCTGAAAACGGCCCTGCCGGCGCGCCTTGCCATAGCGGGTCGCCCCAGGGAGCTGTCTGAGGCTGCAGGGACGCTTGGGGTGACTGGCCAGCGCTAGCGCTGAGCGAGGTGCAGGGCTCAAAGCTCTCAGAGGGAGACTCGACCAATTCCAGCTGTTCACACGCTTGCTGGCTTACGGCTGACCAGCCCCCCACCAGGTGTGACTGGGGCAGCTGTGGGACGCCAGACCGTCACAACTGGCTGAAGGTAGTGCTGGCTGCAATGTGCGGCGGGGGAGGGGGGGGTTAAAATAATTTGGGTGAAACCAAACAGCCTTTCAAAAAGGAATTATTGGGCCTTGAGTGCTACTTGCTCCCATTCTGGGTAGGCTGGGTTCTGGTGCTGGACTGCAGCCTCCCTGTTGGGGGCAGGGTGCATCTTGGGAGATGTAGTTTGCATGCTTCAAGCTCCCAGGCTCTTTATGGGCCAGGCTACCGAGCTGGGCTACAAGTCCCAGGAGCAGGGCTGGCCTTACCATGAGGCGAACTGAGGTAGCGGTCTCAGGTGCCAGACTGGGCAGGGGGTGGGGGGCCACTAGACCCAGAGAATCGAGACCTTTCAAAGTTTTGGCCCAAGTGAGGGGCCAGCGGGGTGTCATTTGAGCTCCCCACCTCAGGTGCCAAAATGTTGTGGGCCGGCCCGGCCCATGAGGCGTCACGCGGCACTTCTAAAGCCAGCTCTTTGGCTGAAGCTTTTCAGTCATGGACAGCGGGTATCGGGCGGGGGGAGCCGAGCCTCCCAACAGTCAGGCATGGCTCTGCCCCCAGCCCCCTTGGAAAAATGGGCTAGACAAACTCATGACCAGTGTCCCTCTAAGACTTTCCATCCGTGAGCAAAGCAGCCTCTGTCTTGTGCACCACTAGTGCGCGTGTTTGGACGTGGCACCAAGGTCACCTATTATGACAGTCTGCTCCCTAGGTGGAGTCAAGTCTGCCTTGACTTGAGCGGCTTCAACCCCGGCCTCAGTTTCCCTCACTGTAAAATGGGGATAACTTACCTGTCTCCCCCTCGAGGTGCAGAGACCTCCCCCACCTCCTGCCTGGTGAGCCGGTGGCTGGCTCCTCACCGTGATTGCCCTCTCTCTCTCTTGCAGGCTGCTCCAGAGCCAGCTGCAAGAGCAGCAGCAGCAGCACGAGCAGGAGCTGGAAGGCCTCTGCCTGGACATCCGTTCCCTGAAGCAACTGAGCCAGCAGCAGCAGAGCCTGATCCAGGACCTGCAGCAGCATCAGGAGGAAGATGGGCTCCTGCATCAGCTAGTGCAGCTGAAGAGAGAGAACCTGGTGAGGGGCGGGAGCCAGACCCGGCAAAGGGGGGGGGTGTGGGAGCCTGGCACAGCTGGGCTGGCACTTAGGTGCTTGCTGTGGGGCCAGGCGAAGGCTTGTGCTTGGAGAGAAGGCTCCATGCCACCGAACGTGCTGGGTAAACGCCCTGGTGGTGCGTGCACCACGCCTGCCGCCTCATGCAGGGACTTGGCTCCATGGAGAGGCCGTGAGCCTCCTAGAGACACCAGTAGCTAGGGCAGCATTGGGGCCAGTTGCTCTCCCTCTGCTGCAAGGCCTTGCTGCAGGCTGGGAGGGTGTATCAGTGAGGAGCCCCCACCCCCCGGTAGCAGGCAGTGCTGGGGCTGTAGCCTCTGGCCTATCCCTTCCTCTGTGCTCCAGGACCTGGCGGAGCAGCTGGAGCGGCAGGAGAGGAGCATGCTGCAGCTCCGGAAGCAGCTGAAAGCCTCCATGAAGCAAATCCAGGATCTCACAGGCAGGTGCCTCGGGACTGGCCAGGCTGGGAGACCAGCTGCCTTCGTGGCAGGCTTCAAAGGGTTCTGCCCTTATGTTGCCCAGCCGGCACGTGGCAGTTTGGCGCCCCGGGGGCTGGCGAATGTGCCTGTGCGCTAGCTCGGCTGGCACGGTGCCTGGAGTGGTACTGCCGGGCACTGAGCCGGCCAGGCTGGACATGGGCTGCTGTGCCCACGGAGGGACCAATGTCTCCCCCATACCGGCCGGGGGCATGGCTGCTCCGCAGGCAGCGGAAATGAGCCAAGAAAAGCCACTTCAAGCAGCTATTCTGGGCCAGCTGTGTCCGCTGCCAACCGCCAGCCTGGCTGTAAAGCTCCGGGCTCTGGGGTGAGCTGTGCGCCCGGCGGCCCCGTGCGGAGCTCAGCAGCCCTTCTCCATATCTGCAAGTGCCACTTCACTTGGCTACTGGGGAAGCGGGGGGCTTGGAGCAGCAAGTAGTAGATCTGCCCCTTAGGGCACCTGCTGACCCCCAGAGCTGGGGGAGGGGGGTGCTCTAGGGACCAGAGACAGGGTGTGACGGCGCATTGGGGGTCCCCGTCTTCTGCAATCCGAAATGGCACAGACAGACTGCCCCAGCCGGTGGGATAGAGGAAGTTTATTGCCTCTCCAGGATACAGCACAGCCCAGATGGAATCTGGTCACAGAGCTGGGCTAGGATGCCTCAGGCCCCCTTGAGATGGGGGAGACTGGAGCCCTAAACTCCAGCCCCTTTCCCTAGGCTCTCCTCCAGGCTCCCAGCCAGCAACTCACTAACCCTCTTCCAGCCCTGCCCCCCAGCCAGGGCAGCATCCGCCTTCCTTTGTTCCTCTCCATGGGGGGGGTCTGGCCACTGGTTTGCATAGTGACTCATCCTGTTTTGCTGGGTCGTGGTACCCACGGCAGCCAGGGGGGGTTACCCCAGAGCCAGCAGCATAGAAACCAGCCAGGTACCCCCACTACGTCATACAGGGCAAGAAGTTGCTAGCTGGATGTTGGGCAGCCAATGTTAGATTAACCCTTAGCTTGCCAGGGCTGCCTAGCAGCATCCTGGGCAGGCATGTGGCTTGCTCAGCAGGACCACTTCCACCTCTCCAGCTGAGCCTGTTCTCTGCCTGGGCGGCGTTCCCCAGGAGAGATGGGCAGAGGAGGGATGGGGGTCCTCCCCCACCTGGGAGTCGGTTACAAGGCCCCAGACCCACGTGGGTGCTCTGTCTCATGTTCTTGCTCTTCTCTCCGGTGCAGTGAACAGAGAGGCCATGTGGCTGGAGCACAAGGTGAAGGCAGAAGAGGCGGAAAGGCCCCTTGGTGTCCTGCGGCCTGCCAGGGCTCTGGAGGGCATGCTGGGCTGCAAAGCCGAGGATGAGGGGCGTCTGATCAGGGCCATCATCACAGGTAGGGACTGGAGCCCCCTGGGGGGTTGGTCTGGCCTGGCCGGTGCTGGCCCCTCCTGTCTGTACAGACAGGGCCAACTCTGGGCTCGAACCTGTGGCCCCAGGACCTGCAGGGTGGGAGGGGCCAGGCCTCTGCTGCCCCCAGTGGCTTGCCCCTAGCAGGCCAGACCTGTCAGCACTAGAGCAGCCGCAAGAGGCTAGCGCAATGCAGAGCAGCAGGCGCCAAGGCATCCGTCGTGCAGCACCTGCCGCAGCCAAGTGGAGAGGTGCCACGGGCTCCAGGGGCAGAGACGCTCCTTGGGAGGGGGGTGAAAGATGGCTCGCTGGGCAGGATGCGGGGCGGGGAGCCTGGAGAATCCGCACTAGGAGGGAGATGCTGGCTCTGGAGCTGGGAAGCCAGCGAGTTGCAAAATGGCTCAATGGGGACACATGTCGGGATGGCTCCCTGGGCAGGTGTCCCCAGCTGGGAATGGGCCGTTCCCAATGGCCCCTGTGAACTTCCCTAGCTCCTCTTGCCTCTCCCTCCCATGTGGCTCCTTTCCAGCACTGCCGGGCCTGCCTAGCCTCGTTCAAAGCAGCAGCGAGGTTGGGATGCTCTGGGGCAGAGGCATCCGGCTACGCAGGGAGTAAAGACTGTCCCTTTGCCGCCTCTGGGGCAGTGCAGGAGCACGGGGCAGGACTCAGCGTGGCTAGTGGGGTCCAGCCAGGACTGGGGGTGCGGGGGGCAAGGGTGCTGGTTTGGAGCCAGCCTGTGACCAGAGATTGGCTTTGTCTTGTCCAGTTCCCCCTTTAGTTGGGGCCGGGGAGGGGGTGACGGAGCTGTTAGTGGCTCAGGCCCTTTGCAAAGAGCTGGGGACTTTGTCCGCTAATTCGGGGCCGGTGTCCTTGGGGCGGATGAAACCGCTGCAGCCTGCCCGGGGCCGGGCCGTGTCAGAGGCCAGGGCAGCACGTCTGCTCTGCAGTGACCGCACTCGACTGAAATCCCCTCGGGCTGCAGCCCAGACTCCTCGCCGCAACCTGATCAGCCCTGGGCCAGGCCAGGTCCCTCCCTGCAGGAAAGGGGGCCACCACCC